GCTAATTGCGAGCGGTCAGACGAAAGACGTCGCGTTGTTGTCACCTTCGGCATCCAACGAAGCAACGGCTGGATTGTATTGAGTTTCGCCAGTACAAACCAGAATAACAGCTGTGTATGCCGTAATCACTCGTTTAAGTGGTGTAAACTTTGCAGCAGGTTTCTGCGTGGCCCCGGCGTCGCATTTCGTGTTCGATTATGTAAACGTGTATTCAAGCACTGGTCATGGTTTGATTTTGTTTGTTTTGCATTTTTTTCGATGGCATCATTGTCCAAGGTCCCTCTAAAGCGTGTGGCTCAATTTTGAGGTTAATGACGGCGAAGGAAGCCATGTTCGTTGGCATCATCTGGAGTGCGTGATCAGCATTGGCACTGAATCGTTGCGTAATCCGTTAGCCTAGTCTAACAGGCATTTTCGTATGCTTTTCCAACAGAAGCTGTGTGCATTAAGGACCGAATGCTTATGTTTTTATTGCTGATCTGACATCGTCGCGATTTAGATTTCAACCTACGGAACTTACCTTTTTGATTGACAGGATGGACGGAGAGATCATCGGTCAGGTAATAACAGAAAATGCCCCCTAAAGATGATTTCCTGGCGAAAAGAAAGGGATACCGATCTTTGAAAGTAAATGAATGGACGAATGTGAATGAGGTATATGTAAGATATGCTGGAACGATTACAGGGTTTATAGTGTTTCGTCCGTTGGTTTCTGTTTCACTATACCTGAACCCATAAAATTTGGGATTTACTATTGACATTATCAAAGAACAGTTGCTGCACGCTTTCCTGATCATGGTCTTTCTTGCTGATTCGTACTTTTGGTAATTACAAACGTCTAAGACACTTTGGATGTCATTAGACATTTTGACCAAATGAGACGTCACCAGTCTTGACATACTTTGAAAGCAGATGGTGTAGAGATATAGTACTTTGACGTCAGGTTGTTCGAATCACTCTTTGTCAGCATAGTTACTGAGAGCAGCGCTAGATCTTGTGGCTATAACATGAAGGTTTAAAAGCCCTTATATTTCCATGGTACACCACTTCAATCCGTACTTCATTTGTACTTTTCTGTTCATACTGTTCAGGTGCTAACATGTAAAATAAAAATCTTATGGACATGCGTTTTTTGGATATAATAGTTAGAAACTCCAAAAAATGCAACAGATGCGTTTTCTTTATGATATTATAGCCATTATATTCGAATATCTGATTAGAAGTCTTTTTTGAAATATTAGCACTGAAAAATTATGATAACGAAATAGTGCGATAAAATATGTACAAAATGGAAAAATACAAACACATTGCGTGGACACAAGATGACACGGTAATACAATGTTTTGTCAACCTCAAAATCTGCATCTGCGTATGAATGCTATTCTGATATCTGTGTAATGTCCAAGACTGCTTGAAACAATATGAAACGCTGATGATGTTGTGATGATGAGTATTACCGATAGCGGGCTGTGTGGCTTTGCGAAACCCATCCTGTATAGCTGACTTACAAATCTAACAGAGAGGCGAAGTGCTCCAGGAGGTTAACGATTTCATTATCTCAAGCGATGGCGCTATCCAGCCAGAGTAATTTGATGAGTGAGTGATTTTATTACCGGGACGGGTGAAGTCTGAAGTATGAGCTAGGAAGTACTTACGAAACGAGAGGTGCCAACTGATCATCTTAGATTGGCTAAATATGCCAGTGTTCATGTGTTGTGAACATTGATTTTCTGATTAGCCAAAATATTGTTACACTGTGATTAATTGCGGCGGCGGTACTGAGGAAGTATTCATTATAAAATTAGTTGCAGGGGAAAATATCTATGCGTGATACAAAAAGATGAAAGCCGATCATCCAAGACTGTTTGGATAAACTAATATTTATATGTGATGCTCTTGGATTTCAAGATTAAGATAAACATCCTTACGCATATGTTAAACTGCGCAGGAGGATATGAGGATATGTTCCCAGAGCGGATATCATCATCAGTAGAAGCTAGAGAGGTTGAAAATGAAAGTTCGTTAAGTTTGATCATCCCAGATTATATGGATAGTTTATTCTTCCTGTGTGCGGGTTTAGATTTCAAAATTAGGCTGAGCATCGTTACACTGTGATTGATTGCAGAGGTAAGGAAATAAGTTTTGTATCAGACGGTAAAACATCAACCTGGGAAATTCATGTGCAAGCAGGTGATAAAGACTGATAATCTGTGCTTGTGTGGACAAGCTAGATTTTCTCTTTGATGGGCTTAGATATTAGGATTATGCGAAGCATAAATGCGTAGTGGTGAATAAAAGAGGATGCGAAGAGTTCGACTGTATTAATGGCAATGCTGCTAGAAAGATAATCATCAAAAGTGTGAGAAATTTAAAAGAAGTTTCATGTGCAAGCAGAAGATGAGAGCCGATCCTCAAAGGCCGTTTGGATAAGCTACTTTTTCTATATGGTACGTTTAGGTTATGAGCGTCGTTACATATTGATAAATTACAGAGTG